TTATCACACACCATCATATATCCCTTTTTGTGAAGATGGTGCATTACACCTTACTTCCAGTCTGCGGGCTTCCTTCTGTCGCCAGATTTCGGTTACTAATTTATGCCTGTGTTTAAAAAGGGTGTCACCACCACTTTTAAAAAGTTCGACAGGAAGATTGTCCAAACCAAGAGCTTTGTTATTTTTCAGTTTTGTAATGGCTTATCTAATTTCTTCTTCGGTGGGGGCGGCTCTTGAGCTTTTTCATTCATTCCAGGCAAAGTAATTTTTATTTGGTCTTCTTCACGACTGTCGCTCAGAAGTTTTTCAAAATGATTCGCCCAGCTGTTTAGTATCTGTTCTTTGTCACTAATTATGGAACCATGATGTCCTTACATGCTGTTATTCTGGTTATGAATTCTTTTCTGTAGCTGTGCTTCTGCATCTTCTGGTAGAATTTGCGCGAGTCCTTTTTTCTTCTCGTCTAAGATTTTCATAGTTTTCCAGGTTGATCTCGTTCTGTGCTGCTGAAGTACCTTATTTGTTTCATTTTTCTGTTGGTTAATGGATCTACATTCTTCGTCAAACCCATCTTAGTTTATTTTAGCTTTTTTTATATACCCTAAGAGTATACAACGTAGATTATAAATTTAATTATAGACAGCTGACATTAATTCCTGTTTTGAAAAATTGGCTGTTTATCTCAAATTACAGCTTAAACAAATTCTCGTCAAATACATCTTCTTATTAATTTTTTCTGGAATACTATGTCAAAAAACCACCTTTAAAAAAATAAAAATAATAAACTAATACTGTAAAGCATTACTTACTATCGACTCTTTTAGGTCCTAGTTCATTCAATGCAAAGAAAAGAGGAAAATATACCATGGAAAATGAAACATCTCTCAAGGCAGTGGCACCAGTACCTTTATAAAATCCAAAGAAGCCATCAGTTTTAATTATATTTAAAGCCAATTTGGTAGCTGTTGGTTTTTCGATTATGTTTATCTTCTGTCCTGAAAGAGTGAATAAGTCCAACAGTGTGAACTTTCAAAGTACGTGAACAGATGACAAAAATTTAGTTGTAGTGTTAATATTTCCAACTCTCAACTTTTTTAAATATCCTTTTGAGAGAGAGGGCGGGAGGGGAGAGAGGGAGAGAGAGAAGGTTGGCAAAGAAACAGAACTAATCACCACTATACAAACAAGATAACTGCAATACCTAGGCCACGTGATAAATGGACCAAAATATGAAATGTTGAGACTCATCATACAGGAAACGATTCAAGGGAATGATCTGTGAAATAAGTGCAGAATCCTTGGCTGAAGAATCTACGTAATTGGTGTCACTGCAGAGAGCAAGTTTAAAGCCGTTTAAAAATATTGCGAAGCCTCAAAAGCACTATTTATAATGAAAATGAATTTTAAAACAAAAACATTCCCAAAAGATGAATGAATAATGAGATACATCATTTATGTGATAAAAAATAGTTTTATTATGAACTTAGAAATTTTAGGATTTAGAACAAAGAGAATAAAAGTTTAATGTAAACAGCCTTTATTTTGACAGCATATGTAAACTATACCAAAACAGACTAGATAATGCCTTATGTTCACATAATAAAATCACTAAAGGGAGCAGCATATGAAGAATTGGGAAGAGTGTCGACGAACAAATAAGAGCATATTATGAAGTAAAATAAAACATCACAAATGACTTTTCTTTTAAGAAAACATTTTTCTTCCTCCGTACAATCTCCTGTAAATCCACAGCTCGAATAATTAACAGCATACTAGCTGACCAAACGATTCAAGTAGTCATGGGTACCTGGGATCATGGGTCTACCTCAGGTATCTGTCCTAGCTTCTCTTCTCTTTAGCCTATACATCACTAATATACTAGAAACTAGATCAAGGAAGTTTGGTTACGCCGATGACTAGGTCCTTGCAACAAAGTGTAAGTCATTTGAAGTAACAGAAGAAATCCTGACGTCGGACTTACACACAGTGGAAAAGTAATTCCGTAAATTGAAGCTCCATCCAAACGCTACCAAACCAGAGGATTCCAGTTTCTACCTAAATAACAAGCTTGCAGGAAGAACATTCAACATCTAATTCGAAAACACCACACTCGCATACAATAAAACACCAAAATACCTTTGGGTGACTCTTGACAGAAACCTATCTTTCAAGAAACATCTGTTAAAAATAGCGGAAAAACTTAAATCCAGAAACAACAACATCCAGAAGCTGTGCGTCACAACATGGGGAGCATTTACTTTCACCTTACGATCATTTACCCTGGGCCTTGTTTTCTTAACCACGGAATACTGCTCTTCAGCCTAACTTAACAGCCCACATATACACAAAGTAGATGCCCAATTAAACAAACTACGGTGCATACACTCCCTTACTAATGAGTACAGAAAGATATTTAGTAACGAGATCCTGCCAATCCATTAAGACATAGATGGACTATGCTGAACCGAATCAGAACCCAACACGGCAGATGCAGTTACATGATGCACAAATGGGGTAAATGACCATGCCCACTCTGTGACTGCGGACTCTGGAATCATAAAGCGATAAGTGTCGAAGACTTACATGCCAAAAGTAACTTTCCTCTTGGACTGTTGAACATCTGGCTACGAGAGAAATGGGACAGGTGAGACACATCTAAGCTGCAGCGTTACACCTGGTACAGATAGATCTAAAGCTACAAAAATGTGCTGGAATATACAGTAGTGGTAGAAGTATAATATTTTTATTTTGAATTCCACTAAAAGAATATATTTTTGTATTCCGGTCAGATATGTATGCAATCTTGCCTTATGAAAAATACATTAACATAAGTGAACTTGTTTTAACTTAAGCGTATCACTAGATGTACAGATATTCAGACGACTATGACGGCTATCAGAAGACCTACAGTAGTCTCCGGGCTAATGTGGGAATGTCGAAAAGAAGATTGGCGAAACCTAAAGATATTAGACGATACAAAAGACTTCGCTTCAGAACCCACCTTTAGTAGACAAAAAGCATTATTCGCGACCTTAAAAAAGTCTGGATTCCAACACGGCATAACTATGGTTAAGAAATATACTAATTCAAGCATAGGGTATAATATGGATTAGACTAACATACGTTAATACCGATGAATTACTGTGAAAAATAAGAAGGAATTATATCAGAATCATAATAGGCTTTCTTACTGGACATGACTAAAGCTGCATTGTTTATAGTAGAGAACTTGAAACACTGAAACATATTTTGTATGACTGCAGGGCTCTAGATCGCAGGTAGTAAACAATTTTGCAGACTATCAAGTGACTTCAACAATACACAATATCCATCCGCTAGTTTTGTATAAGCTGGTAGAGATTTTAAGGATTCTGCAATATATATTATGAAGAAATAAGGTATTACCTTATTTCTACTGCCTAAGGCAAAAAAAATTCAAAGAAACTTAAACCACTGCACGATCAGCTATGGTATCTAAATATTAGTTAAAAAAGAAAACAATAATTTTAAGTTGCAGAAGTGGTGGTTTTCTACACGGATGAAAGGCAAAAGGGGATAAAATAAATATAAATAAAATGATAAATTGATCAATTAAACATCCACTACGAATAATCACAGAATGTCAAATGAACAGAAAATCACACGGCCAAAAAACATGGAGGAAGAGTTAAGACACAACGTGAACACAATGTGTGAAAAAAAACGATAGTGATAGTGACTAAACCAAGGGATTTTGGAAACAATATCGAGATACCACAAGGCAACAGTGTTAGATCAAAAGAAAAAAAATTATTAATAATTTTTTTGTACCTTTACTCTGTATTTCTGTAGCCGCCTTAACTCTTCCCGCATCTTGCATTTGAATCTTTAGAAGTTCCATTGGTGTTGTTATAATCAGTTGGCACAAACCTGCCAAACCTCCAGCAATGACTTGTTTATATACTGGCAATATCCTAAAAAATATTATTCCATTTATATTGAAATTCAGAGTAAGTAAAAAATATTTCTTCTTCTTCTTCTTCAGTGCCTTATCCGGTCCGGATGTTGGCGATCATCAAGGCTATCATGGTGTTGTTGACTGCTCTGCGAAACAGCTCCGCTGATATCATCCCAAATCATTGTCGGAGATTTTTCAACCACGAGATACGACGGCGTCCCGGTCCTCTTCTGCCAAATACTGTACCCTGCATAACGAGTTGAAGAATTCGATATTTTTCTTCGTTCCGCATCACGTGTAAGCTTAACACATTTCACATAGCCCAGAGGTAGAAAACGATGTGATTATATCGTTTTCGTTCACGGCCGCCAAAGCAGGTGGCGCCTCTGCTCGCAAACCACTACAGTGGTGAAGCTTTAGGAGACATTCGTTCTACTTTCCGTGTTTGAATTTGTATCAGCCCAAGTGTCTGACGATGGCTGGGATAGGCCGAAATGATCATAACACTTTAGTGATACCGATGCGAGCACGGGAAGTTTAACGAATTTGTCCTCCTAGGCCATATATTTGGCCAATTTAATACAACAAAGCGATAGCAGCTTTTTGCTAAAAGATTTATTCTTTATATATATATATATATATATATATATATATATATATATATTATTTATTAGTATATAAAATTTCATTTAAAAAACTCGATGTCGAGTTGGTCCGCTAGTACTAAGTATGAAAATAAAAAAAAAATAGTTTAAGGATGATTTATAGGTAAATATTGAATTAAATACTTACCCTTCAGTTGATAAATAGTATCTAAAAAAATCATTTGCTGCTAGTTTTATTGCCTTTTCTGGTGTAATTAATAGTAAATTAACTCCAGCTCCTCTGTACATTCCAAAAAATCCTTCCGTTCTAAAGGTTTTTTGAAATGCATCTAATCTAAAAAAATCAGTTATGTTATTACGTATATTTTGTCTGTTATAGAAAACATTGAACGATTTAAATAATGATGAGATAATGCTTTTTACACTGATCGGAAACGATAGTGACTCTGAAGTTGCAAACAGGAAGTCTTCAGGGCTACCATTGTAGGATCTTGAGGGACACTCTTCAATAATGTGGTCGATCGTTTGGTTCTTCCCACAGTCATATTGAGGAGACGGATTATTTACCCATTTATGTAGCATGTATGCACATCTGCCATGTCTGGTTCGGATTCTGTTTAGAGTGGATCATGTTTTACGTGGACGATCAAAACCTGGTGGCTTTTGGGTAATGCAGGGCATGTTATTTTGCCATGCATTCCATTCTTGGGGCTATTCGTGATGTTGAACTCCTCATGTATCATTCTTGCCGTTTTCATTGGTGGTTTTCTAGAACGCAGACGGGTATTTCGTGCATCCTCGGTATCTTGGTGGATCGGCAGGTTTATATTGTTCATGATCTTTTTGTATTCACGTGTAAGTACGTCTACTCGTCGTAAATGTAGAGGTGGAATGTGACTTAATACTGGAAGCCATTGGCTGGGAGTTGATTTAATTGTACCAGCTATCATCCTCATAGTGCTGTGCAGCTGAGTGTCGACCTTTTTTACGTGTGGACTATGTAGCCAAACTGGGGCATAATATTTAACGGTCGATAGTCGATAGCAAAACAAGAGCTAAGGCAGTAGAGCAGAGAGTGAAAGCCGATGTTCCCCAGGTTGTACCGCAGAGCTTCTGTATAATGTTACTTCTTGTACTCAACTTTTGGGCAGTTTTTGTTAAATGTTCTTTAAATGATAGCGTTCTGTCTAGTGTTATGCCCAGGTACTTCGGTGTTTTGTTGTGGGAAAGTGTGGTATTTTCAAACCATACATTGAGTTTCTTTCCAGCAAGTTTATTGTTCAGGTGAAAGCAACTAGCTTCTGTTTTGGATGCATTTGGTTGAAGCCGCCACTTCCAAAAATATTTGCTCAATATATATAAGTCTGCCGTCAGAACTTCTTCAGATGTTTCTAATGTTCTGCATCGTGTAGTAAGGGCCCAGTCATCGGCGTTTCCGAACTTTCTTGATTGTGTTTCTGGCAAATCTGCTAAATATAAGCTCAATAGTAATGGAGAGAGCACTGACCCCTGTGGAAGGCCATTCTAAGTTTCTTTGGTGGGCTGATATCTGTGCCCATCACTATTTGAAACACTCGGTCGTCGAGCATGCTACCTATTAAACGTGCTTTTTTTTACAGGAGATTGCACGGAGAATTTTGTATATAAGGCCCTCTCTCCATATTGTATCGTAAGCTGCTGAGAGATCAATAAATGCCGCTGAAGTTTTAAGTCTTCTTTGGAAACCCGCTTCGATGTAGGTGGTGAGTTACATTACCTGGTCCGAGCAGGTTCGTTTTCTTATATATTTATAGGATGTACCTAGTGGGACACTCTGTGATGAGAACTTTCTAATCCAGTCCATTCTGCCCAAAATTCGTATTTGGAGCTCCTGCACAATTTTAGACTAGCACAATTGATCTAGTTTACTAAGTACTAAAATAATAGATGCACCAGAATTTGTGTTTTCCAGAAAAAAACACCTCCGTCTTTAGAAAAAAGCGGAGCGTACCTCTTCCCACCCAAGAGAGCGGCGCCAACACAAACAAATATCAAAGTCGAAGGACTAAATACAGAATCGACGGAATACTTATACAGGAAAAGAATATTAGAGAAGATCGCTGGGAATGAAATATTAGCAAACGATAACATCGAGGAAAGCTGAGAAAATCTCAAAAATAATATAATTAACACAGCAACAAAATCACTTCATCATCATCATCATTGGCTTTTACAACTCTTCGTGAGTTTTTGCCGCGTTTACTATTGCCTTCCATTGATTCCGATCCTGTGCTATTATTTCCCATAGCCTTACTTCCATCTTCTCCAGGTCTTTCCTAACTGCGTCTTTCCACCTTTTTCTAGGCCTTCCTGTCGATCTTCTACCATCTGGTCTTTCCCAAAACCCATTGCTAATCAGTCTGTCGTCATCACTCCGTACCACGTGGCCTGCCCATCTTAATCTATTGGCTTTTATGGATCTTATGTTGTATCTATATGATATCTATGTATCTATATGATGTTTCCTTTCCCGAAGAGAGTCTCTGTTTCATTGTTGTATCTGCTCCTCCATTCATTTGTCACGCTGTCCCTGCAAGGATCATATATAATTCGCAGGATTTTGCATTCCCATACTAATAGCTTATTGATTTCTTTCTTTCTCAATGTCCATGTTTCACTTCCATATGTCACTGCTGGTCGTATTATGGTTTTGTACATTTGGATTTTGGCACGCCTTGAGAGAAGCTTTGACCTCATTAGATGTTGAATGGCAAAGAATGATTTATTCCCCGCCAGTATTCGTATTTCAACAACCAAAGCGATAACAAATAAATTGAATGAAATGAAAGGCAGAATTTATAAAACAGTCATCAGACCAATAATGACATACGCGGCAGAAACAAGACCTGACACGGAGAGGACAAAAAGGATGTTAGAAACAGCAGAGATGAAAACACTTGAAAAATTGATGGTAAGACACTATGGGACAAGGCTAGAAGTATAGATATACGACATAGACGCAAGGTGGAGAATATCAAAAACTGGGTAAGAAATAGAAGAGTAGAATGGAACAAATAGAGTAGTAAAGACGGTAAGACACAGTTCCCCAATAGGAAGACGATCGATAGGAAGGCCACGAAAACTATGGAATGACAGCTTAAAAGGAGGCACATTAAAAAACAGATATATAATAAATAGATTCGTTATAGTAGCTCTAGGCACAAAGTTCATTAAGTTTTCTCCAAATTAATTTTTGCTTATGTGCTAATCTGAAATTAAATTTGGCTTCATTTTAAGATGAAAACATTTTTTAATCAATATATCATATAATCTCACAGAAATAATAATCATTTAAATCTACGTTATTAGCAATGAAAAATAAGAAACGTACCAAACTTACATATTTGCGTACATCTTTTCTCCTTGAGGTCCAATTTGTTGATTCTGTAATCTGGTCTTCACCAAATCTATTGGAAAGACACACGTTACTCCGATAAGTCCTGCAATACCTCCATTAATTATTTTAGGTATAATGCTAAAACGCATTTGCAATGTTATATAAATTGACTGGTTTTCCGTATTAGGGCAATTATGTTGAAGGTAAAATAGGAGATACTTACGAAAATGTAGCTTGTTTTTCAGCCATAACTAAAGATAAATTTTTTATTGAGAACCTAAAAAAGACATGCTTATATAATTTTACGCACTGAATATTGTATGGAATATAAATAGTTTTTAAACTATTGTTCTCCAATTGTCAAAAAATGTCATTGTTAAGTCAATTTTCAAAATTATATAGGCTTCATACGCAGATAATTTTTGAAACCAAAATAATAGTAACAAAAACTAACCCATTCGAAAAGAAAGGAAATATAACCAAAATTTAAAATTTAAAGGCGATTTGAGGTCAGGTCGAGAAGTCAAAGGAGGTAAGTTTTTATGAGCAAAAATAAACGATTTATCAAGTCCCATGAAAAAAATTAAATGGCAAAGTTGTAGATAATAAAACGATCTACAATTTTTGTATTTATACCGATTTTACATAACCTCAAAATTTATGCGAAAAATTCAAATAGCCTAGTTCTTGGTTGTTTATTTTTATCTTTCACAAAATGTCTTTTCAGGTGGCAAAATTTACTTTTTTATGTGGTAAATATACTGTAATTTTTTGAGAGACAGAAGATATATTTTCTCCCTCTTTCTCTGTCGAGAATAAAAATGTTCCTTTTGTAAATATATTTAATATTTATTAATATTATTATTATTTTTTTATTAATAATATCATCATGGTAAATTAAACCTATGTGTAAGTATGTTATGTATATTGTCATTTTTAAATACTTAAGAATATTGCATTTTAACTTGTATTGTATTATTATATTGAATTATGTTGCAGTGTATTGTATTGTATTTTTATATTAATAGCAAAATAAACAATGAATTTTATTGCAGAGTATGTGTAAACTTTTTTTTTGCATTCAACTCCTTTCATACATGTATGAAAATAACAATATACATTTTCATCAAAATATTGATTCAATTCTTCCTTTACTATACTCCTATTATAGGTTACGGCTGTTTTAGCAGTTCAAGCACACTGCGATTTGAAATGGGGGTTGAAATGTACTTAGAGGGTGAGGAAGACAAGCAAGAACGGAAACAGCCAGATCTGTTCGAAGACATACAGGAGAAAGTGTTCTCGAAATTTCTAGGGAAGTAATATGGTCGGTGAAAAAATTCCCTTAATTTCCATTCAACCATCTTTAATATCTCGCTGGAAAAAACATTAATTTTCTTGCATAATAATGCATACTCTACATACCAGCAGAGTTATTACAGACTTCCTTGAAGATATCAAAATTGTTCAGTGTCCTGTTTGCTCACCCGACCGTAACTCTATAGAGCATTTAGGTGATATGCTTAAAGAATTAGTCGGCATAATTTCCAAAAAACCGTACAGCTAATAGAAGCTGCTCTTGAAGAATGGAAATAATCGACCACAATAAAATCTTGACAATTTGTTTAGGAGCATACCCACGCGAATTGGAGCTTGAATAAGGTATATGGTTAGTAACACCGACTACTAAGAAAGAACAAGAAATAAAAACAATTTAAACATCATTTATTGTTCATTGAAATTTTAAATGATATTAGTGACTTTAAAACAAATAATTCCCCCTTTCGGGGGAACCTGTAACCCCTAGAGAGCGCGTCCAACAGGTAGGGCGGAGGATGCTCTAAAGCTGTAGAGAAAGCAAATCCTCTAGGAGAAGGAATACTCCAAAATCAAACCCTGGTCCTCCAGGTCCGAGGTTGAGGCTTCGGGTTAACTCCCCGTTACTCGGAAAAATTCAAACTGTTAAAAAACCTAGCGAAACGCCTCGGAATCGATGTATTATAGCACAACGACACATGCTACGGAAAAGGATAATGAATATTGGAACTTGGAACGTACAAGGGTTTAAACAGAAAATAAATGAAGTAATACATGAAATAAATAGACTGAACATAGACATCGCAGTGATTACCGAAACAAAACGAAAAGGTCAAGGATCAGAAAATATCGGAGAATATGATTACTTCTATAGCGGGGTACCAAAGGAGAAAAGAGCCCAACAAGGCGTAGGTATACTTATACGCAAGAAACTAAGGAGATTCATAACTGCTTGGGAAGCCATCAACGATAGGCTCATAAAAATGAATCTAACCATCAAAGGAAAAAAGATTACAATTATTGGAGTATATGCAGTAAACGATGATGCACTGGTGAATATTAAAGACGACTTTTTTGAAAAGCTACATTCAGAAATTGCAAATATCGGCAGATCACGAGAAATTATAATCTTGGGGGACCTAAACAGTAAAACAGGCAAGAAACAACACAACAAAGTCATAGGCCAATATGGTGAAGAGGCTATAAATGACAACGGTACTAGACTAATAGCCTTATGCGAACAAAATGATATGAAAATCACAAATGGATTCTTTCAACACCGAGATACCCATAAATACACATGGACACAAAATACCCGAGGACTGAAATCAACCATAGACTATACAATCATAAGACAAAAGACTAAATTGATTGTACAGGATGTGCGGGTATATAGAGGAGCCACTTGCGGCAGTGACCACCATCTATTAAAAACAAAGCTCACAATAGGAATAGATAGAGCAAGAGATTTAAAAGAAGCTGCAGAGGAAATAGAAAAACTAACAGAAAAGAAATACAACCTAAACAGCTTAGAACAAGAAAGCGTGAGGGATTTATACAGGAGTAGACTACATAAAAAGTTAGAAACCATGCAAGGTACCAGCAATGAAGAGCATTACCATTATATAAAAACATGTCTTCAGGAAGCAGCAACAGAGGCTCTCGGACTCCAATTAAAAAACTACAGAAAAACTTCGTATTGGTGGGACGAAGAAATAGAACAAGAGATTAAAAATAAAAGAGAGAAGTATAAAAAATTTCTGAACGCAAGGACCGACGCTGATAAGGTAGAATACAAGAGGACCCAAGCTAAAGTGCGAAAAATGATATGCCAAGAGAAGAATGAGGCTTGGGAGCAAAAGTGTAACATGATTAACACACATTTAGGAGGACGGAGAAGTACAGAAAGTTGGAAAGTATTAAAATCGCTACGACAGGAAAAGAAAAGAGATATAATATCATCAATCACACCGGATCAATGGGACGAATATTTTAAAAAACTCCTAAATGAGGACAGAACGGAATTTTTAAATAACAGTGATACCAGCAACGTAAATATCTTAGCCTCACCATTACGAATAATAATAAAAGAAGTAGAAGAAGTATGTAAGTCTTTAAAAAATAACAAAGCAGCATGACCAGGGAACATACTAGCTGAACTAATAAAATATGGCACAACAAAATTATATGAAAACCTGGCTAAACTCTTTCAAAGATACATCAACGGAGCGGAAATCCCAGAAGAATGGAAGACATCATGGATATCCACCATACATAAAAAAGGCAGACGGGATCAATGTGACAACTACAAAGGCATCGCTGTAACGAACTCGATCAGCCGAATATACGGAAAACTGATTAAAAATAAAATCGAAAACGAATATAAAGATATAGAAGCTGAAGAACAGGCAGGATTCCGGGCAGGGAGATCAACGGTAGACCATCTGTTTTGTATTACACAGATTATTGAGAAGAAACTGGCCGTCAACCAGGAGGTGCATCTGTTATATGTGGAGTTGAGAAAAGCGTATGATAGCATCCCAGAAAACAAACTATGGGAAGCATTAGAGAAAACCAATATAAGCGCAAATTTAATAACAGCGACGAAACAATTGTATACCAAAACTGCAGCAAGGGTGAAAGTTGGAAGCAGACTATCGAGAGGATTCCAAATTAGGAAAGGCCTAAAACAAGGGTGCTGCCTTTCACCGACATTATTTAAGATCTACCTCGAGCAAACTCTAAAACTTTGGAAACGCAAATGCAAAAACATGGGATTACCGATCAACAACAATACAATATACACTTTGTCATTTGCAGACGACTAACTTGTACTAGCGCAAGACTACGATGATATAGAATATATGACAAGGAAATTAATAGAGGAGTACAAAAAAGGTGGTTTGGAAATAAACATAAAAAAGACCGAATATATGTGTATCGGTGGGACACAGTACCTTACACTGGGGAATGGCGAAATTATTAAACATTGCGACGCATATAAATACCTGGGTATGACCATTACACAAGAAGGAAACGTAGACCGGACGATAGAAGAAAGAAACAACCAGGGAAGAAAAGCAATTACCCTTCTCAATAGCATACTGTGGGACCAGGCAATATCAAACAACAACAAACATAGAATATACAATACAATTGTTAAGAGTATAATCACTTACAGCAGTGAAGTATGGCAAATAAAAGAAAGATACAAGAGAAAACTTAAAGAAACAGAAATGGATTTCTGGAGGCGCTCAGCAGGAAAATCAAGATTAGAAAGGGTAACCAACAACAGTATTAGGGAAATAATGAATGTGAAACACACAATAGTAGATGACATTAGTACCAAACAGCTTAGATGGTATGGACACGTACAAAGAATGTCCGAAGAACGACTCCCGAAACAAATCCTAACGTGGACCCCTCATGGTAGACGAAAAAGAGGAAGACCCCGCCTTAGTTGGAGAGAAGGCATAAATCGAAGTATGAGAGAAAAAGAATTAGATGAAGATGAGAACGTTTTAAAACCGATATATATATATATATATATATATATATATATATATATATATATATATATATATATATATATATATAAAACAAATAATTTCAATTTTATTATTTAAGAATTGATGAGTTTTTATGTATTGGTGATAAAATGCTCTAAAATAAGTATTCTTTGATTTCGTCGGTTGGTTTTTTAAATTGGTTAAAAATAATAAGAAATATTAGAAGATTCCATATAAGTATGGTTGTGTGTATATATTTAAATAAGCTTATTCCTTGAAAATCCTTTTACTAATTTTGCAATATGGCATATATTCACTACGCGAGGAGAAACTGGAGTAATGAACAGTTTTGATTTTGATATGGACTGGGAACTCGAGAAGCTTTATTCTGTATGAGTATCCTCGAAATAGCACGAAGCTTTATATACTTTGAAAAGGTATTTGATAATATTCTGAAATAAAACACAGTATCAACAAGTTACTACAGTTATTTATTATATTCCTATAACAAATACTTTTGCACTACAATTAAATTATTCAATA